GCCAATCCAGTGTCTTCGGTCTATAAGAAAATCTTATGGAGAATTATTACTCTTCTCACAACACCCATCCAAGTGCAGCCTATTCCAAGGCTAGTTTCCTCTCTGCCTGGCCTTCCAAGAAGTCTGTGCCCAACCCCTGCGCCTTCATTCTAGAACACTTTGCTTCCAGCACTGCAAATTGAGCTTCAGGCTACTAGGGAAGCAATTGCTATTATCTGGTTTCACAGTTTCTGAATTTTAAAAAAAATGGCTTTGCACACATAGACATTCAATAAATACTAAGCAAGTGACCAAATGAATCCATGATGGCTTGATTGGGTTGACAGGTCACATAAAAAAACACTTCAAACCATGAATTGGGAAGATTTATAACTGAAGATACACCTCTGCTTTTGAAGGTCTTTCAGTCTGGTTGGGCAAAAAAGACCAACACAGATCATGAATAAAAGACAGCATATGAACCAAAACTACAGAATCACTTACTACTACTACTACTACTACTACTACTACTACTACTACTACTACTACACACACACACACACACACACACACACACACACACAATTTATTTAAATACTGTTCCTTCAAATCAGCACCTTCAAAGTCTTACAGAATTATTCCAATGACAATATCCATCCTCAAAATGTGCTGTGTTGGAATCTCATCTGTGGAAACTGGCTTAGGAGTCACATCAAGTTTACTTTATGGTCATACCTCATTTTTTACCAAAAGAAGATGATTTAGCTTAATCAGTCCCCTTATTCCCAGATTTGGCTCAAAATGATTTCTCATGCTTCCAGAAATCAAATGAACCCTCAAACGATACAAATTTGTGTATTATTAGAATACACAAAGGCTCTGAAAATAATACTAAAACTGAAATTCCAAGCATGATTTAAGGAATGGTAGAATCGTTGGACTGAGTGTGTAATTTCCTACAGAAGACAGAGATCTGAAGTGGTGAATGTACACGGGACAGACCAGGAGACTCATTTGCCATCAATAAAGAACTCAATCTAGCTATTCTTACCCTGAGCACAATGGCAGGGTGTGGCAGAGACTGGCCAGACACCCACCAAACCCACCCCCCTTCTTCCTGAGTACACAGCTGGCCTGCATTTCCCAGCTAGTCTTTCATATTAGACTATATGATCAGTTCTGGCCAATGAAATGCAGGAAAAAGTGACTCAAGCCCTTTTAGCCCTGGCCCCTAAAACCTCCAAGGCACCCTCCACATGTCCCTTTCTTCCACCTGCCAGCTGGATGCTCAGAGCTCAGGGGAAGGCTCTGAGGGCCTAGATAGTGTTCAGCTACTGAACAGAGAGAGCCTAGGTCCTTGAGTGACAGTGTAGAGCAAAGCTCCCCAACCCCTTCTGACTTGTATCAAACTGGAACATGAGCCAGAAACAAATTTATAAAGTGTCAAGTCACTGAGATTTAGGAGCTGCTTGTTGCAGCAGCAAGTCCACCCTGACTAATATAGATACATAGAGTTACACAGGGGTGCCCACCTGACAAGCAGCTCAGTTAAAAATCAACACTGCCATTTGGAGCATCTGCCCTTGTGACTTTCAGTTTGGGGTTCATATCTGAAAGCGATATTGTTCTCTCCACCTTCAGCCTCTTACCACATATGGCATATGTCACATCGCACAGATCAGCACTCATCCAGCCCTCTTGCTGGCTGCTGGGAGACGACTGCTAATCCTTTGAAATGCCACTCACCCTCAGGGCTTCCCAAAGTGAATCTGACAAAGACCACATGGCCTATATTTTAAGCCAGGCTTCACATTGGGTAAGTCCAGATTTTTTTATAGTGTGCCTTCTCTAACAGACAGTCAGGAAAGTGTTCTCTCTCTCTCTCTCTCTCTCTCTCTCAGGTGTGCTTTTTAAGAAACACAACAAAATAGGCAAAAAACCCAGGCTTTCCATTATTTTAGAGACTTCCATTTAAAGAACTGCTGCTGTGTCTTCTAGAA